TCCAAAATTTTTTGTAAATTTCATATTAAAATATTTAAAATTTCCAGCTTCAGCTATTTCCAGCTTCAGCCACGACAATTCTTTAATCAATTAGTTGTATCTAATAACTCGATTAGTTGTCAACTAACTAACCGATTTCTCAACTTCAATTTGTAACACTACTATAGATATTTAAAAAGATCAAATTTTAACAAAAGAAACCAGCCTAACTTCAGTAGATTTGCTAATCTGCATGACTGGTTTCAAGAAAGAAGTATTGACGAAGTTCGTCAAAGTGCTATTTTATGGAAAAGTTGTAATACTGACAATGTGAGAAGAAAGCATATATTAGAAATATCTGTCTGTTGGTCTGAAATATATCATTTAACTTACTTTAATTCGGTTCATTTTACAATAATCAACCCTATACATTGCCTATTTTAGATATTAACAAATAGATTGTAAATTTGTGGATCAATAAGGATATTTTAATGTCTGAGGACCTAGTTTTAATGAAAAATTAAGCCAAAAAAATGAAAATTCCATCTGATATCAGAAGAGTTCCTAATAAAATAGTGATAGGAGATAGTTTTTTGGGCCTGATAGCAGACCAATAGAAGTCTTTTATTCTGGTATATGTATCCTCTATTGCTTGAGATTTGTTAAAAGAAAATGATAGAAGAATTTTGACTTACTTTGTCCATGTATATTCAATTCTCGTGTGTAGAATTATTAATAAAGATAAATTAGAAGAGGCTCATCAATATTTTCTAAAAATGGTGAGACTTATTGAAAAATGTTATGAACAGAAAAAAATAATACCTAATTTGCATTTATATTTACATATATGTGAATATATTATGAATTATGGTCCACTATATGCATTTTGGTGTTTCAGGTATGAACAGATAAATAGTTTATTAGATAAGCTATATATTTAGAAATATTATTAGCTTTATAGACATGCCGATAGCTTATTAGATATCTATATTGGGTACTGCAGATAAAATATGGTATAGATATCATCTTAATAATAATTAATTGATATAAAGTAGATGTCACCTATACTATATTTATCTGTAAAACCAATTGTTTTAAATATCTCATCTATATATAATATAGTCATAATACTTTATACTAACTTAAAAGAGATATCTAACTATAATTTAATTGGATAAATCAATAGTAATTTATTAATATATATAAAATTTATATACTACGTATATTAGAATCATTACATAGCAGCAACAGAAGAATTAAGGCTGAATTATTTCAAACTATACAGTATTATTCTTAGTTAGATGAGCTTACTTCATGTGCGAATGGTTATTTAAAAACATGCTTACAGTTTATTGAGTGAAAGAACATAGCTAGCAATCTTTCTATATATAGTAGAAACAACTATCAGAAATTTCTCTTAATGTCTATAAATGTCAAAGAAAAATCAAAAACAGGTGCAGAACCATTTCCAGGTGAATTATTAGATCCAAAGAAAGAATGATAAAGCCTTTTGAAAGAACTATCAGCATTGTTAGCAAATTATTATAATAATGCATATAGCTGCAACTTTATTTTTTTATCTAATATTCATACTAGTAATGCTGGTTCTATACTGGTATTATCTAACGTAACTATTTATAGAAGAGTTAAAATTGGAGACAAACTTTTTGGGTCTTCTTATTTGAAGAGATACCAGAAGTTAGCAAAAATACTCGCCAAATTCATCTTGAATGATGATTTAATTGATATATTTCCTGGTCTTGTTCAATATTATTTTGAACATGTTATATAGCTACCGGATAGATCAAAGAAACATACTTTGGCTTTTGTTCGGTGGTATTGAGCTGTTGATGACTGCAAAACAAGATTCTATTGTCAAATAGACAGTATCTGTAATATTAAATTATGGAAACAAGAGTTCTATAATTTAAACAGAGATTGTATAATCTTTATACATAATATTTTAGGTTGGTTTGTATCAGGTACCATTATAGTTAGCAAAAAAAACCTAAAGGAATATTTTATAGTTATTGTACATTTTGTGCATGATAACTATTTTATCGTCTGGGTTCTATGTAACAGTTTTCTGACATCAAATAAACTTTTTTTTTTGATATTTAAGCTATTTATTTTATTTGTTTTTTTTTTTATCTTTTTCTTATTTGGATTCTAAAAAATGACTAGTAGAAATTTACACGAAGAAGCTGAACATTTAAAAAACCTATCTTATGTAGCTAATACTGAAAAAAACACTACTAAATGGCTCCGTCATGTTGACAGATATCGTCAAGCAAATAATATTGATAAAACGATTGATCAAATTGATAATAAAGCTTAACTCGATGAATTTTTAAGTTTGTTTATTGTATAGCTTATGAAAATTGACGGCAAACTATTTAAAGTTAAATCAATTAACAACTATTATGCTGCATTAGCACGCTATTTACGTGAAAATTCTTCTATTCCAGGTAAAGTTAACATTTGAGACAAATATACATTTTCAAGAACAATCTGAATATTAGATGGCAAGATGAGATCGTTACAAGATGAAGATTATGGTGATACTGATAAAAGTGATTCATTAACATCTAACGAAATAGGTTCTTGTTTAAATCATGAATATTTATTAATTAATAATAATGAAAGTTTGCTTCGTTGAGTTTTTTTTTGGCTTTCATTGTTATGTGGCTTATGGGTGGTGACACTTACAAGTTACAATTTCGTGATATTGAAAAGCGAGTTGATGGTAGATTACAGTTGCGCTTATGAAAAGAAAAGAATAATCAAGATTGTGTATTTTATCGTCAACGATATGGTCATACAAATACTCGATCTATTCCAATTCTAGCTGACAATCCCAAGAACCAATTTATACCTGTAAAAGATATATTATTGTATTATCAAAACGTCCTTCTGAATATCAATCAACTGATGCACTATTTTTAGAATGCATTAGAAAACAATCAGGTAATTTTAATTTTTATTAATATCTTTATATACATATATACAAAT